AATATCTCCCAAGCCAAATTACCATAATAACCTTATAATCCTTTCATATTTACCCTTTATCCAATATTGAAATATTCTTATAAAAATCCTTAAACTTTTTAATTTTCTAAATTGATCCTCAAATTTAAAAAATTCTCATTTTAGTCACTGACCCGGATTTCAGGATGTTACACTATAGCAACACACCAAGTATGCTTCGATACTCATGTGCATTAGACAACAAGGCACCCCTTTGTCCTACACCCTTCGAGGCATCTACCATAGGAGTACACGTTGGAGTGGCTTGAAGCATATTTGACTTCTCCAGTAGCTCAAGAACATACTTCCTCTGACTAAGAGCCAATCCAGCACCATTTCTCTTAACCTAAATGCCAGGAAAAAAGAAAGAGTACTGTAGACACACAATTTTGCCCCATATATGTTACAATATTTATATATTATACATTATATATATAAAAGTTGATTTATTTTACATTTTTTCTCTTCAGGCCCGAAACCAGACCCATCAGCTAGCCCACTCCAAATCAAACCCAAAGAAATTAGGGTTGCAGAATCCTAGCTTGTCCCAGCTGCCAGTATTAATGGTTGTTGGATCTATATGAGATCTAACAATCCACAGCAGATGACACATAAGGGTTTGTTTGAAAACCCTAATTGCTTTAGCAGCATCCCAACGTCGCACGCCTCCATCGTTGCAACAGCCAGCGTCGTAATACCCTCACCCATGTCTGAGTTTCACGGTAACACTCCGACAACCTGAATCCTTCGGTATAGGGAAAGCTCGTCCACCACAAGAGAGACCAAAAACATTAGAACTCTAATATAAACATGACTCTAAATACAATCAAATCCTAGGCTATAAATAAGAGGTAATCACCATTGTTTTTAGGTACGAATTTCATACGAATATTACGATTACCAGAGAGTTGACACAATATCATAAAGATTACCACAAGGCAAACACACGCATCAGTTCACAATAGAAAACGCAAATAAGGTCTGAACACTTGTAGAGCATTTCGAAAGAGAAAATAAAGAGGTATATTTTCTCGTTTTTACCTTTCGTCTCGGTTGGCTTTCCTTGCATACGTATCAACATTGTTTGCTTTGTTTTGACCCACAAATTTCTTTTAGCCGAGGACCAAAAGGGGGTTTCTTCGAAACTTTGTTTCCAGATCTACGCCCCCCTGAGGCTATTTTGCGAAAACAAAATGTATTTTTGAAACAAGGAGAAAGAAAGCTATCGAAAAGTGATTTTTTTTTAATATTCGCCGTCGATGATCGGCGGCCGGCGAGGCGGCTCGAGGCGATGTGTGGTGGCCGGATTTTGGAATCTCGTTGTGTTCTTCATATATGAAGAACAGGCGAGAGAGAAATGAGAAGAGGGGGCGTTTTGGTTTGAGAAGGAAAAATGAGGGGTTTTAATTTTTTTTAACCTTTATACTAAACCTGTATAACCCGCGTACAACCCGACCCATCCATATAGGATCCGTGCGTTTTGTGTATAAAAGGGTAAATCCCATTCCGATCACTTTGGTTTTAAAAAACTTCTATTTTGATCCTTAAATTAAATTCAAGACTCGATTTTCTTTTAAATTGAGCCCCCAATTTCGTTTTTATTGCAATTCAGTCCCCTTGTATTTTTAATTTCTTCCTTACTTTCATTTAAATATTTTATATATATATTAAAACTATTTTTATTTGGTTTTTTAAATAGTATATTTATTATTATATGTATTTACTTATATATTTTCATTATTTATTATTTATTTCTTTATTTCTTTTTTATTTTATTTTTTTATTTATATATATATATATATATATTATACCACTACTATATTTTATCATTATATATATATATATATATATCCTTTTAATATGTTATTTATACGTTTATTATTATTATTATTATTATTATTATTATATATATATATTTTTTCCTTTTTTCCTTTTTTCAGCATTATATTATATATATATATATATATATATATGTATACGTTTCCTTTTTTTACTTTGTTTATTTATTTTTATTTCTTTCTTTTTTTCTATTTTTGTTTTTCTCTATATTTTCTACTTTACTTTTATTTCTTTGATGTTCATTTTGTTATTATTATTATTTTTTTCATTGCTTATGTACTGGTTGTATATAGATTGTCACCATTGTCTGTATTTTATTTATTTATTATTATTATTTCCTTTATTTTTTATTCTTTTTTATTTTCTTTATCTTTTTATCTTTATTTTCTTTGTTTCTTTTGTTTTTCTTTATTTTATTTTCTTCCTTTAATACATTTCTTGATTTCTTAAGGGTTCACTTCTAATCAATCAGTGGTAAACTTCTGGATCGTCATTTTACCTTTTGATTTAAACTTATAACTTTCTTAATAAAGACAACTGAAAATTACATTGTACCGAAAGGGCAGTTCAAGAGTGCTTAACCCTTCCTTGACTGTAACCGACTCCCGAATCCGACACATCACTGGTAAGACACAGATCAGGTAAGAAATAAGGTATCCGGCCAACCTATTTACTTTTAAATAAATGATCGGTGGCGACTCTTAACCCAATTTTCTAAGTCGAAGTCCAATTTCGGGGTCCAACCGAAAGACGGTTCCGACAAATACCAATATCTTTTAGTGAGAATTTCCTATTAAGCATTTTTGCACAACAATCTCAATATCATCATTTGAGCTCCCTGTAATTACTATGTCATCAATATACACTAGAATGTAAGCGCATGAACCATCCGTGACTCGAATAAACAAGGAAGCATTAGCACGTGACTCCACAAACTGAAAGTAAGTTTAAGATTTTTTATATTTTTAAATCAAATCTAATAGTATTTTTTATATTTGTAACTTCATAAATTAAAATTAAGAAACAAATCTTTTAATTAGATAATGACATGTGTCATGATTTATTATACATGTCTTTAATTACATATATTATCATTGGATTGAAAAAAATATTAAATGAAATTAATAAAATATATAAATAATGAAGACCAAATATATAATTATATATTTTATCTTAATATATATAAATAATGAAACTTGGTTTGATGTCTGCTATCTGATTCCTCAACAATGGCAGCTAATAGCCATTACTAGAGATAAAAACTTGTAATAATTTGCTGCGATTTTGTATTATGTTGCGGGGAATTCAAGAAATGGAGTGTGGGACAGACACAATGAAGAATAGAAAGAATACCAAACAATCATGATTCATCCATGAATGAAGAAATATTAGAAACTGCAGTAAAAAAGTTGCATAAAAAACATTGAATATAGAGCCTCAGATCCACGTGAATTTCGATCCCATAACAGCTAAGCATCAGAAACCACACTGAACTCATCGTCTTCCAATGGAGCTGGCAAGTTTAGATCTATCAAATTGTTGTCAAATTTGCCTGAATTTGCAGCGGCGGCAGCCAGCAAATGGGATCTTTTGTGACCGCCCAGTGCTTGTCCTGAACCGAACACTCTACAGCACAATGGGCACTCAAATATAGCAGCAACTTTATCTGTTTTCTTAGTTTCAGAGCAAACCCTTTTGTGCTCATCCAATGTGTAATAAGATCGAAACGTTTTCTTACATTTCTCACATCGATGTTTCCCATGAATCTTCTTCTTGTTCAACTCCTGAACGGATTTTTGTTCCACGGTTTTGCTTTTCCAGACATCTCTCGACAGCATCATAAGCGACATAGCGACATGTTCTTCCGGTGAAGTATCGGAAACTGAGCTCACCGGTTCTTGCTCAGTCGGTGACTCGACCAAACTGGGTTTCGTCAACAGCTTTCGACATCTCTTGGATCGTCTCCGAGTTGTTGGGTTTCCTGACTCGGTCTCGCTTTCTATATTTTGAACAACGGACCCAGAATCGGGTGCAAACGAGAATTCAAGATCTGCGAACCTGGAACTCTTCTTGGGATTCTCTCTTAACCCGTAAACCAAACATTTCCCTTCGAGAACTCTGATTTTCTCTTCTCCAAGTTCTTGCTCCTCACCTGATGAAGACGATGACGAAGAAGCTGAGTCGGAGCGGTCACCGTGTTGGTGCTGGTGAGTCGTCTTATGAGGCAGTGAACGAGTGGCTAAGTGACCTTTCATGTGACCTCCTAAAGCTCTGCCATTAGAGAATGTTCGAGCACAGAGCTTGCACTTGTGCTTCTCCGTTATCGCACAACTGAAGCAAACCAAAGCTCAAAGTACCCAACTTTTTTTACTCGCACCAAAAAGCAATAAAAAACAATAAAAAGAAAATATGGGGAATTTAAATGAAGCAGGTGACAACCATTCATCCACCAGATGACACACAATCCAACCCCAAAATTATGATGCTCATTTTGTTATTTTAAAATATATTGATTAACAAAACAATTAGCATATTTATTTAAAATTTCGAAAATAAAAAATTATAATTGATGTTCATTGCCACTCGTCCAATTATACCATTTTGCTCGCTAATTCATCTAATTTATGAGAATCAATACCCCCTTAACTTTATGGTTATCGTTTACTGTGGTTCTCTTTGATTATCCTTTTTGCTTTTAGCCACTTCGTACATATGGATGAAGCAAAAATTATGGGATTTGTTGCAGCGCCAGCCACCAGTAATTGCCATTAACCCATCATAAAACCACATGCCAACACCAGCCACCTCATGTCACAATGATAAAATTAAAAGCTTATGAAACTGTTGTGCAATGCCATTACTCTGTCACCAAACTGACTATTAATTTATGAATCTAAAATCCCATTTGATTTGCTGCACTCAAAAAATATGTACACATTTCTCTTTTACTCAATACAAGGTTTCATCTGCCCTACTCTTCCTCTCAATTATCTTTTACCCAACCCAATCTCTTATCATATCTGATATACAGTCTGGACTCAAGATACCATACATAAATATACTGTACATTGAGTTTATGCAAGAAAAGAAAAACAAAAACAGTTGAAATATAAGAACATTTACGTTCATACTGAGAGCTTCCATCACACTTCATATGGCCTGCGTCGATCATGCATGTTATGGAGCTTTTTTGTTGATCTTCGTACAGGAAGTTGATAGCTCAATAGCGGCTTCTCTGGGTCGAACTCGCCTTCCCTTGCCAAGTAAACTTCTTTCCCTTTAGCCCATAAGACGAAGTAGAGGCCGGTAAACATGAGGAACATTCCGGCGACGCTGTATCAAGAGATGGATTCATAGAATGTTTAAACATTTTCGATTTCGAACTTGGAAGCAAATTGTTAAATCTGTATGTATATATGGTTTACCTTCCTAATGAAATGGTTTGTCCTAATGTAACAAAAGACAAAACTACTGCAATGACTGTTCCATTGGGGCAAAACATTGAGACCAGCACTGGTCCCCTCTTCTTCATTGCCCATCCGTTGAAGCTTACACAAATTCCGCTCACAGCTCCTCCCTGCGCATCCGAATATGAACGAATAGATAGGTCAAAAAAATGATGTGCATTACTGTTTCGAATCTTTCGATATGCATTTAAATTCTGAAGTGTGTGCTGTTTCTGTCTACTGCAAGTTTATGTATAAGCATAATGGAAATTTTCCATTTTCTTCTGCTTCTTGGCATCATGGTTTGTCACTTGCAACTTCGTAATAGTTTGGAGTTTGGGAATTTAATTTTAACTAATTTATATTTCATAAAAGATCACAGTACATGAGATTCGCATACCAGTAGAGAAAAGCCAAGTAGGTTCCAAGCACTAACAAGAGGCCAACCCCATTCAAAATCATGATTTTCAAACAACTGCACCAGTGAAGTTATAATCACTCCAATCAAGGACGTTATCGCACACAAGGACATCGGAGCAGGAAAATTTCCCAAGGTCGTCGCCTGTAAAACACGATATCTTAACAGAAAAGAAGAAAATTGAAAGCACAAATTCAACCTCCTATACTAGTTCTCCATTTTTTTCAACAATACCTGCAATACTACATTGCTTGATAGAACCAGGACTGCTGCCATGAGGTACATGCAACCGATGATCTTATTTTTGTTGAAGATGTCGTTATAAATGACTACGGTATCCATCACCGCATCTCCCGACGAGACGGTGCTCTGGATTACACTCATTATAATGGCACCTATGACACACAAGAATGTGCCTGCAATCTTAACTTTACTGTATATGCAATTTATAGAAACTTTTTCTAACCTGCATCAGCGTTGCCAAAATTCATCACTAGGTTTTCATTACTAATGTGATCATGGAAAAAATGAAATGAATATAGTACCTGAAAGCCCAAGCAATTATAAAGATTAGACCAGGAGCAAGGTTTGGCATGGATGTTGCCACTGCTGGTGAAGTTAGATCAATCCCTTTGAGGAATAGGTATTGAAACAAAGTTATTCTGAAACAAAGATCATCAATAACATGATTGAAAAATGGATTGTTAACTTCATTTCTAAATATTAAAAAAGAATGTAAAATGAAAATTAACCTTACCCTCCAAAGGAGATTAAAACAAGCTGAATTATGAACTTCATGGTTAATTGGTTCGGCCATCGGCTCCTGTGAAATGAATGGATGTGAATGATGATGCCTTCAAAATGTTTTCATGGCTAAGCAGAAATAAAGAAAGAAGATGAAAATGAATTACCTTTCGAAATAAAAGGCAAAAGGGGAGAGGATGATGAAGGTGGCGAGGGTGAAGTAAATAACAATGGTGAAAGGGCTAAGGCCAAGGGACATAAGATAAGCAAGTAAAACAGAGTTGCCTGCATAAACAAATTGCACCCCTACCAATCCTCCTATTATCGCCACATCTTCAAGCATAAGTTTTTTCAAGTACACCACCATCTTTACTTTCCTCCCCCACTTTCTTTCCTTCCAAACAGGGAACAAAAGAGACAAAAAGAAACGCAGGAAAAAGTTATGTACACCCGCCACATTTTTGTTTATTTGTTGTTCAAAATGTTTGTTTCTGATTTTCTATATCAAATCAGTTGAGCTTCTTTCTTTGTTTTTGGTTTCGGGTTATGTAATGGCAACCAAATGATAGCATTTTTGTTTCTCTGTCTATTGGTACTTAACTTTCTCCAGGTTATTCGCAAAGGGTGTGTCTGTTTTTAGTGGCTCTTCTATGCTTCTCTTTTTATAGCTTTGTACACAAATTTGGCTCCCAGGATTATGGTTTGCCATCTCCCTCTTCAAATCTATTCACTATTTTTAGATCACTGTTAATAGGCACAATCCCCATTTTTTCTATTAAACATTTCTCCAGTTCACCCATCATTTCTTGTATCTCTTCTCCTCCACGCACATGTTTTTCTTTTTAACTTTTCGTATCTGGAAACTGTGAATCTATTTGTTTCATTTTATTGTATTTTAGGATCTAATTTTTACGAAATATTTTCTTATTTTCTAACAAAACATTGATTTTCTAAAAATTTGTTTTCAATGAAACAAATGACCGATTTCTAACGTCTCAAAAATAATTTAGAATTTAATTTTTTTATTTACCCATACCTATATAAATTTCTTGCCACCGTCCCTAACTTGGGATACAAAGCATAAGACAACTGAATTTCTTATTCAAGTTGGAAGACCGTGATGGTTTGGCCTGTTAAGCATCCCAAACTCGTTAAACATTCTTAATCTCAGAACTTGCATGAATCAAAATCAGCTTCACTGCTGTTGGAATGAAATGACAACACTTTTCTTTTTCAAATGAAAGTCCATAGCTCCTTGCCGCTCCAGTTATTTGAACACACCTCGTCGTATCGTAACCATGGTCTCTATCAGTTACCTTGGAACGGCTAGACCAAACTCTATTGCACAGAAAATGCACTCAAATCAGAGACTTGTTAGCAGAAACCATTCAACAATGTGTAAACAAAGCACGGATAATAGCTTTTAACTCCGACCAACAATCCAGTGCATCAGCACAAGCTCCAAAAAGGAACAAATTAATGAATGCTGTATATTATATCTGTTTTTTAACTTCTAAACATAAGAACACTAGAAATGTGACTAAGATCATCTAAAACTGGTTTCCCACTGAGTTCAATGTCAAACTAAAATGAAAAATAGATGACAGGCTTCGCCTTCCGAAAACAGCCACGTGTCTCACGTACCATCAATTCCATCTGGAAAAAGGAGCATTTTTGTTACCATTGTGTTCTATATCACTTATGAATGAATCACTCTAAATAACATAAATCAGTGTCACAATATTTGATTCCACAAAGACAACTGATCAAATCCTGACCTCTATCGCGCAGGTTCTTAGAATGCATTCACTAGGCCTATGTGTCTAGACTACCACACTTGAGGATGGGCTAACTATCCACCCTGATGCTTAATCAGGTAGTAGAAAGAAGACTATGCAAACAAAAGAAGGAACTGTAAGCACAAAGCTGAATGGAATGGTTAGCGGGTCGGCAGATTTTAACATGTCAATATTGATATTATCTTATCCTACATAAAAAAAGTAAGAATAATTCCCATGAAGATAGGAAGATAAAATCCACATTATACACAAATGCAAGAAATATGATGTAGTGATCCAATCCCACAACCACACAGAGAGGTCGTGTGCGACGTTTTATAGAGGTTTTTCTTTCCAAAATTAAGAGTATAAAGAAGGGATCTGGTTTAACTAATAGAAAGAGACACTTGAAAATAAGGGTCATATCCTGAATAATTAAATTTCAAGATCACTAAAAAGGCACTCATGGTTTCGTGCTTGAGAATGAAGATGAGCCTGTCACTGTAAATTCCCACTTTATTTCTTTCAAGCATATTGAACTTATGTGCCTGCAGGAACCAAATACTCTGGTCAGATCTTGTTATGCATTACTAAAGCACTCTCGGCCCCATTTTGTATACCCTATGTTGTTTCATTCAGAAGGCAAGATCAATTATCTGATGCTGTCCACCTTTAGAGTAACAAAAGTTTTGAATTTTACTTCCTAATCAGCTATATGTTCTATAAAATTGGAACTAAAACCTTTAACCCAACCAAAATTTTAAAGAAACGTCAAATTTATCTATTATAGGGGATCAGAGATAGAAATCACTTGTGATACTCAAGTAGCAATTCAACTATTCAAGTATAATTTGGAACCAAATTCAGGAAAGCTTGCTGCTTGAATCATAAGCATATTTTCCTACTATCTATGGAGTCTCCTACTTACCTCAGAAGCCTATTTTTGAAATACATGTTTTTAAGGTTACATGGCTCATCTATCTAATGCAAGGTTGGGAATTGGGTAGTTTATCAAACACACTTGCCTATCCAACTAATTGGACAGTCTACCACAGATGCTCAGCTTCTAAGAGAGATAGAAACAGAGAGGCTTAGTAAGTACTCAATTCTTAATTGAAGAAGAAACGATTTTAAAGAGAAAATTTGACATTCATCTAATCATTGTTTTTGAATCGATGTTAGTTAGCCATTTGCCCATTTGATCAATATGATTCTGCTCTTAACCTTAAAGCTTTCTACTATAATTATAACATAGAAATAGCATTTACAGGGAAAAAGATCATTCAGAACTGCCATAGTGGTACTAATTAATATGCAAAACAATTGAGGGAGGAAAACAAACTTAATACATGAAATATTCAAATCCAAATCCACGAATGATGAAGCAAGAGCAGATACATATACTACCATACTAAGAGTAGGAGAAAAAAAAAAACTAACAATATAAAACAGATAAAATAGAACTAGATGCCGGGATAAGTGCAGCAAAGTGTACCCTGAGAAAGTGCCCGGCAACTCCTCGATGTTGAGGTCAGGCAGGACGTCAGCCTCGCCGCCGCCACCGCACTGTGCAGCGGCAACAGTGAATGTGCACAGCCCAGCTCCGAAGGACACCTACCATCAACAAAAATTAATAAAAATAATTATTAAAAATTCAAAAAAGAGAAAAAAAAATAGTAAGATGATAAGTCCCAATTCAGGAGACGAATGGTTACAGAAAATTGTAATTTGGAAAATATAAACCAAAAAAACGGTACCTGGAGAAAGATAAACGGCGAAGAGGAGAGGAGGATTGGGAGGGGAGGGGTGATCGAGGGGAGGAGGGAGCAGCAGCAGATCTTGAGAATTGGGATTTTGGACCATTGGTTCTAAAGGCGGATTTGACGGAGGATGATGATCTACTGATGAATCTCTTGCAAGCTGAAGCCATTAGCAAATACTTCAAAAAAGAAAGAGGAAATCGAAAAGCTTTTCTAATCGAAGCTCAAAACTATGAACAAGTGAAGCGGGAAGACAGTGTTTAGGGTTTTATACTTTTACTACGGCTATCTGATTCGCAGTTTGGTCACGTCTTACCCTATCAGATTGGGTCCAGTGACAAGTTTAATGGAACACATTTTTAATATCTTTTTCTTTTCGGGTATATTATATCGGATGTCAATGAATTTTAATAATTGTTTCTTTATATTACTAAGTTTTTAATTTTATTAGTTGTGATTTTAAATTTTTATTTTAATATATTATCATATCAATAAATTATTAACGGCACGGTGATACGATTAACTAATTTTATAATTAACGTCAATTCTTATAGGAAGGATAATAGGTATGTTGAATCAACTTTATAAGTTGTTTCCTTGTGCTTATTAATAACCTATTCCTGTGTTTCATTGTTAAATTTTTGTTTCTTCTAAAAGCAGTGGCTTCTATACAAAATAGATCTGTTTCCAAACTTGTATACAAAAGAGGGGTGTTATGTAACGATGAAAAGAAGAGAGAAAAGTAGCACTAGCCATGAGAATGTGCAGCTACATGTTGTACACTGCAAGCCAATTGCTTTGTTAGTAGAATATTCAGACTCCAACAAAGGGCTGTATTTGAAGTTGGGATTCGATCCATACAACGCTTGAACACCTTCCACATCGTCAAGCTTAAGGTCCACTTTTTTACTCCGAGGCCTCAAGCTAGGATACGTCACGGCTTCCTTCACCGAGCTATGGGCCAAGCCGAGTATATGACCAATCTCATGCGTCGCCACTGATTCCAAGTCAACGGCCGACTTTGATTTCTCTTTCCCGATATCAACGGCCCACGTTTCTGCTTCATCCAGGTGGAGCCTCCCGTTCTCTGGCGAAAAAGCGTGAGCTAACACTCCTAAAACCCCATCGAACGGTTCCCCGTCGCCGTGGTCGCCGCTGAAGAATCCGATCTTGATATTGGCCGATCCGTAATCGTCTATCTCGGTGAAGATCACCGGAATCACCGAAGCCCACCTCGAAAACGAGCGTTGAAACACTGCTCTGATTCTTGGTAAGCTTATGTAATCGATCATGTTCGAAGGTGAGAAAGCGTACGTTAAAGTCATAGGCGAACCACGGTCCCATCTTGGCCTTCCGTAAAAATAGGCAAAGTGTTTGGTAGCATGGAGTTCAGGACCGGTGTCCGAAACTCCGCACCTCGGTGACATGATCGTCGATATCGTTTCGGAATCGAGCTTTCCGGATACCGGCAACCCGAACTTCCTTTGGTACAAAATTATAGCTGATTCTAATTGAGCATCGAAAACGTCAGTGAAGCTGTCGTTTTGGTTGTCCGGAATCGATAGGTAGCCGAACCGTTGGAAGTATTTCTTGAGTTCCGACATGCCGCTAACGTGGCTACCTTTCCCGGCATCCTTAAAGCGAGTAAAATTAAGCCACGTAACGTGGTGATCATCGGTCTTTATGACAGTTACCTGCCCTGGTGTGATTCTGGCGGGAAAACAAAGACGTGGGAGAAAACAGAGGAAAAGGAAGAAAGAGAGGAAGGAAAAGTAACCAAACAACTGAAACATAGTTTCTGTTGTTAGTTATTTTTGGGATTACATCTGAAAATTGAAGGAATTGATAGGCTTTTATTAGGAGATCAGGTTAGAATTCTTTTTTTTAATTCTCATAAAAATAATCGATTTTTTAATAATTTGTTTAGAAAATTGTAATAATCGAAGCATAGGAAAGATAAGACCGGTGAACAAGAAAAGGAACGAGAAGGTAGGTAGATTCTGCCGTGCCCCCCTGCCTGGAGATACTGGCGTTGAAGGCAGAGAATGGTGGGTTAACCACTGCCTCACCTTGTAATTAAATAGTTTTGATATATGGGATGTAAATAGTATTCCGTTGTCGGAATAGCGGTCGTTATATAATGATAACGGTCTCGTCCGAAATTGTTATCGTATAATCGTAATATTTTAATCATTGTAAAAACATACACAATGTCTACCATCATAATAAACGTAATACAACAAAAAAAAATATCATCACAACCACAATTTAGATATCTCCATTTCATTTTAGTGGGACTAAACCTGGGATACACTTTTAAATCCTAGTTGTTTGTTGACCAAAGGAGGTGATTTCAGCATTAGTTTCATTTCACGTCACTTTCCAATCAGGTTTTCTATTGTTCCAAGTTCCGACTTTTATTACAAGACAATTGTTGGTAACTCAAAATCTTCGATTGCGTGTTTTGTTCTATCAATTAGACCGTTGCTTTTGACATGGTCAGGCAATCTTTGCCTGAGAAATTAAAATCCAAAGAGTTGGAGATGCTAAGCATGAACATAGAAATTTCCTCATCCCCACCCAAGAAGAAAAAGGAAATTTTATTCAAATACCCAAAAATGAAAGATGATTTCGTGACTGAATTAAACTATGGGTGCATTAATTCATTATCAGATACTTTATATTTATTTCCTTTAAAAGAATGGTAAATTATACACATGGTCCCCCAATTATAGAATATTACTTTATTGAGTTCTCTGACTATTAAAAGTTACAGAAAGTTATCTGACTATTCATATGCTCCAAACTCTTCTTATTTCGTTAAAAAATTGATGACAATCTGAGTTGAATGTTAATCTGTTGAATGAGATATAATAGTCATTTCAGATTTTGGAATCAGATTTTGGAATCAGATTTTATCATATCACAATCAATAAATTAACATTCAGTTCAAACGACGATCATTTTTTAACATAAAATGACTAATTTGGATCATATGAATAGTTGAGTGATCGTTTTATAACTTTAATAGTCTTGGGACTAAATAAAACAATTTCTTATAATTAAGAGATCATTTCATAACTTTTTATAATTGAGAGATTCAATAAAATATTATTCTATAGTCAAAGGATTGTTTATGTACTTTATCCTCTTTCGGATGGTTCAAGCAAACCACTCGCTTTTCCTTTCGTGCCCGTTTCTTTCGAAGACGAACTATTTGGTTGATTCCATCATAGAAATCTAAAAAAAAAATCTTATTGTTTATACCTTACTACTATATGGTAGGGGTAAAAATAAAACAGACGTAGAATTTTATATTAAGATGAGAAAATTTAAATATTTTTAAGGTGAGATAAATTTATAATATTTAAATATTTTTAAGGTGAGACAAATTTATAATATTTCGAGGGAACGAAAAATAGATTTTTAATAGAAAAATAAAAAGTATTTACAATGTATAATTAAAAATTTTAGATGGACAATCATCTCACCCTCTTTTTTCCTCAATCTATTCATGAATAAAATATCATTAAAATAAAAATTTATCTTTTTAAGATTTTGTATTGTTCAAATTATTCGAAACAATTAAAATTAATAATTTAAATTTTAAATCAAGTTTGAATATTAAAATTCCTAATAAATAAAAACTTAAAAATAAACTCAACTTTTAACTAAATAATTTTATTATTTTAATATTTTGATATTATATCGAATTGTAAAATAATAGAATTATTTACTTAAAAAATATTTCTTCATTTTTTTATTTTAATTCAATTTTAACTCAACTTAAATTATCTATAGAGACAATATGATCTTTTGTAGGCATGTCTGAAACACCTAAAAACTACTAACGATTGTAACAGTAACTAAACATTCATTATCGAATAATTAGTAATTATTAATTGATTAGGCTAATGTTTTATCATATTTTTTCTTAATATTACCACGCAAAACTTTAACTTTTTTTCCTGTCAAATAAAAATTATTGTAAATTATTATATAATTCATATTATGATTTTCTAGGCAACTAAAAAACATTCATATGTGGGAAGGCTGAGAGGAAGCTCAGCCCACTTAAAAGCAGTTACTACTGAGAGGAAGCTCAGCCCACAGCAAGATTGCTATTCCACCGTCATTGTTGCTGCGGTAGAGTCTGTAGATCTTGTCCATCTCCAGTTTCATTCTCGTTGCTTGGTCGCTGCCTCGTCTAAATCTAGTTCATCAGTTCTGACGTGGTTCTTGGATCGCGCTCTTTGTTTTCTCTGGTTGTTTCGCAAGAATTTTTCCGGATCGGAGGAGATACTTCAATGCTGTTTGTTCAACTTTCGGTGATAATCTTCAGATCTTTGTGAGGTTATCCGTTGTTCATTAATCTTCAGATATTTTCTTCAATTCTGGCATCCGTTATTTCTGATTTCTAATTGAGGTTGGAGTTTCGATTGCTCATGTTAGCTGCTTGGGTTGCTAGTAATCATGGAGTTGTGCTTATGATGATAAGCATATGTGTTGTTAACATGCTAACATCAATGCAAAATTAAGTGATGTTGCAAGTTGTATGCACAGAATGATAATTCCCTTTCCAGTTAAGCTAAATGAGGAGAATATAAGGTTTGATGTTCATTGGACTGTTTGTTCAAGTTTTCTGGAAAATGGATGTTCAACTGCTGGTTCCTTTCACCTAGTTATTGTATGTCCATGGTTTGATTCAACCTACTATAGTTTATCATCATTTGGATATCTGTGTATCACTGTTGTGCATTTTCTGCTGCTGCTTCCTGGTTTAAGCTGCTTGTTGAATAAGTTTAGTTCGTATAACAAGGTGTTGGTTGTGCATTCTTCACCGTTTGTTGCTTCTATCACAAGGTAACATGGAACTTCAAAGCTTCACACTAAGTGTGCATGACAAAAAATCTAAAGGAACTTTGGATAAGAGGATTGTCATAACATTGGATAAAACGAAACATCAAATTTAAAACAGTTATGATTTTATTTTGAAAAATTGAGATTTTTGATAAAATTAAAATTTGATTAATTTAATTTAATTTGGAGTCACCATCGACCTTTGGACTAGGTAAGTCGAATACCTAAAAAAACGTTTTTTAAAATAATTTTAAGAAAAATCATTTTAAAGGCAAAATTTGATCTGCGTTTACCAAAGATTTAATTTAAAGGGTTCGAGAGTCGATTACGTTTGTGGAAGTATTAACACCTCACACCGTCCAAAATTGGTACATGATCGCTCATACGTCGTCATGACAATGGAATTTGCAAGTTCGAAGTAGAAAATTAAAGTAGGATCCTTTTTATTGAATAATTAATTAATTACTTTCGAATCAAAAAATTACAAAATTGGACTTGATCAATTTCAAGTTAGTTTTTTTGTTCGAATGTCGTATTGAATCACACTACTTCTATCAAATAGTGTTTTTCACACCCATTCTACGGCGAATATTCTTGAAAAATATTCAAGTAAAAAAATAAAATAAATATTATTAAAAAAACATTTTGTAAATTTTCAAAAATATTAACTCTAAAAAACAATATATATATATATATATATATATATATATATACACACACATCAATATATAAAGGTCAAAATAGATTGGATAAGTAAAAGAATATACATAAAAATATTGCATGGTATAAATTATTTGGGTAATATATATAATGTAAATGTGTAGAATCTACAAACAAGACACGTACATTTAACATATAATATAACATACTATACTATAACATATAGGATAATACAAAATAAATGTGAACAGCAAACTATATATTTTTAAAAAAAAAATGGAAACTACGGATTAAACTAAAGGAAATGTGAACATACTCATTGGTATAATATTACATGAGGCATAATTGAGTGCATGTCAAGTTTTAAATTTAAGATGTAGAGACAATAAACAATAATAGGGATTAAATTAGGGGCCAAGAATAATGTGAAATACACCCAAAAAGAAAGAACAGCTAATCAACGATAAATGCAAATATAGTTGTCAAATGAAGAAAACCAACACATGATACAAGAAATAAGAAATGAATTAATTGCAAAATTAAAGGCCGTAAATAGCATAAATAAAAAGGCATTTAAACTTGATCAAGGGACCAAATTGCATCACTTTAAACATGGAAGGATTATAAAGTGGTTCACTCAAAATAACACATCTACAAGAGTATAAAGGTCAAAAAAATTTTTTTGATTCATTTCTTACCTAACTCCAAAAAACCCGAGGGAGAGAGCATTTCACCGGGAATGGAGTGTTACCGTCGTTCGTTGTCGCCACCACCGATGGTCGTTCGGCGTCAAGTCTTTAGGGGAGATTCGGCCTCGGTTTTGCGAGATGTGGCCCTCAACTCCACGAAAAAGCCAAAGACTTTTCGGCTCTTAACTTCTCGAATTCTCATATCTTCATGAGATCGAGATATATTAATCCCCCAGTCTTCTCCCTCAGTTGACCGTTTGGATTCACGAACCGACAACCGGAGCTTCGATTCCGGCGAGACCACGGCGGTGAATTGTAAACCTTTCTTCTTTTTCCTCTCGGTTCATGTTCCTTTTTTGTTTCGTTTTATTCTTTTCTGTTTAATCCATCCCCTTTAGTTACTGTGTTGATGATTTATGGTGGCTTCCCGTATGATTATTGTCGATTTGGTGAAGCTAGGGCAGAGGGGTATTGTTCCCCGAATTTTATTGGAAGTGGGTTAGATTTGTTAGATATTTTATTTGATTTATCATGATTTTGCTTGATTTGGTTTAGGGATGACGATGGTGCAATGACCAGTGACGGGAATGGCTTCATCGGTGGCGGGCAGCGACGACGGTGACAGGAAGATAATGAAGGGTTAGGGTTAG